CCCCCCCAAAAAAAAAAAAAAAAAAAAAAAAAAACCTCTTCAATAAATGTAATGAATGTTGCAGGACAACAACTTGGTCTATGAGAAGGTAGACTTTCTACATGCGAACCAGGAGCCGTGAATAGGGGTGTGGGTCAGAGGTATTCTCTTGCAGCTCTCCTGAGCTAACACTAAAGGTTATTAGGTATCTGTTTAAGTGTTCTCCCACAAAACTGGTTATTATCTTTGCCTAAAGAAACAGAGCTTTGAATATTTAAGATGCTGTTCTCAATCATCTTCAGAGATGTTTCCAAGTTGCAATCAGGAGATCTTTCTTAAAAGAAAGTAATATTATTACAGTGTTGGCTGTGACATTCCCTTAATGTAACTAATTTGCTCTGTGGTGAGAGATATGCTAATTAGTATCACTTGGTAGATTTTGTTAAAAACGTGTGAAAGATATGTGCGGAAAAAGCGTACACCCCTAAACAGAAAGGAGTTATTAAAATAAAGTAATTTACAAACCTCTCGGCACTAATTAGTGTCCAACTCAAAGTGGGTCAATTCCTTAGTATAATATTAAAGGCTTATTAGTATCATCACTTTTCTCCTTAGCTTAATGACTTACTTAAAATGTATCCTATATTTTAAATTATCTGTACTATCTAGTATCTAAATAAGACACTATTCTCCAGAAAAATAAAATGTTTTCTAGCCCTCTGCCCTCTGTCCTTTAATGTCCATTCCAATACATTGAACACGTTTCCTTTACCCTCTACGTCCTTCTGAAGGAAAAGACTCGTTGAGTCCTTTTGAGGGTGATTTGTCTTATAATTGAGTTAAAATGAATTTAATTAGGTCATCATACTTGGTGATGAGACTTAGGGAGCATGCCACTCTCTCCCCATTGCTTCTTCAAGTGCAAAGACAAGCACTCAGAAGCCACCCTCAGGCTCTTATCACACGTCGCTGTGAGGCTTGTTGCCACAGTGGCACTTGGGTGTGGCTTTGTCTCTTGTCCCCATGGTAGAAGGCAAATCATCTCCAAATCTTGCTCTTTGTATACTTTTGGTAGAGACCTGTATGTCATAGCTACTTTGTTTTGGTTTTCATCCCTAGCTTATTTTGTGGCTTTCTAAACAGTGGACTGTATTGTGAAATTCTGTGATTCCTGGTGGCCAGTATCCTGGATTCCTTTTTCTATTTAAGATCTTGCCTCTTTCCTTCTCCCATGAAAGTAGCACACATTGTGTTAACTTATGTCTCTTGTTAAATGAGGTTAATGTCTTTGTGTTTTGTCCAAAACTATATTGAAAAATATAAATATTATATTGTTTAATGCAAATGAAGGAATGCAATAAAGAGTAAATATACTTGAAAATGTTCTGTAGACCAATATTTCATACAAAATATGTATAACTGATAGGAATGTGTGAAGAGGGGGCTCAGAAAAGAAACCCCTCAGTTTGTTACAACTAGAATAAGGAGATGGATGATTTTTATTTTAAAATGTCTTAATTATTTAGAAAATGTAGTTAAAAAGAAAAACATCATTAGCATATCAAAAAGATATGTACAGCAAGAATCTTTATACTTATGCTTTATGCTTATTTTACCTTATTAAAAAGCAGATGTACTGAAGCCATAAATAAGGTTAGCAATAAACCAGAAAGGAAAGCTGTTTCTCAGTTAGAATTACTCCTTTCTGTGAAATGTACAAACCAATACTTTCAATGAGATTTCTTCACATTTTGGTATCCTTTATAGTTTTTTTTGCATTTTTTTTGAGCTATCAGATCTCTTAGCCTAAACCCTGATCCTTAGCATTGGCTCAGGTGAGGATAAGAGGCAGCCCAGAAAGTCAGCAACACTAGGAGACCGGTGGGGAGTCTGTCCTGATAAACAGACTGGTTGAAGCATTGAGTCAGCTATAAACAACCACTCCAGCCCAAACGCAGAAGGTGTTTAAACATGGGACTTCATTTTCCTTGCCTGGCAACTTGGCCCATAGCCTCTTCAAAGAAGTGGATGGGAAAGGTGTGTATGAGAGTTCAAAAAAGCATGTAAAAATTACAGAAGTTATTGCAAAATGATCTAAAGTATCTCATCGGCCAGCAAGCTGAGCTGAGATCAGGTCCTGGAGATGAGCCTACAGAGGGTATGTGCTGTATGGACACTGTGGCATTAAGATCCAGGAGATAGTGCCTATGATCATCAGCAAGAATCCCAGGTAGGTGAAGACAGAATTTGCGAGGACTCATGTTTGAAATTTTCCCAGATACAGTCTCCACACAACTGACTTTGTCTGTTTGGGAAGTATAGGATTAATGGTAAGATTTTTGCCTCCTAGAAAGTTCCAGCAAGCTAGGAGAAAAGACGACAAACTTGTAGCAGCCATTCTTTTGCTGAATTGACTACACTCGTGTGTGCAGATCAGCCACACATAAGTACATGTCTGTTTGCCCAGGGCCAGCACGGGAGACATCATTAGACACATGTAGAATAATCTCACCACTGTGTCTCCCTGCTTTTCCCTGTTTTTTCTTTACCTTCTTACCTTCTGCATTTATTTGTATCTCATTCTTGAGCTCTCTCACACACTTTCCCTCCGTCTTTCTTCATAAAATAATACTGCTTTGAAAAATATCTTCTCACATTGTCTCTTTTCTTTCTTCTGGATTTTTTAAAAGTGTGCTTGTGTTTTTAGATGTTTATAAGTATTTATGCTTATGGGGAAACTGAATGTTCAAGCACAGATATAAACTGTTGTTCTCTTTAATCACAGAATATGGTTAATTCTAAGATTACAAATGGCCTTGGTAGGTATGAATAGAGACCATTTAAATATTTGGCAATCCTTAGGTTAAAAAAAAGTACCCAGAATGCCAGGATAGGTGAGTATTGGCTTTTTGTAAAAGTGAAATAAAAGATGGCCAGTACTGTCAGATGTGGAGGACATCTGTATACTTACATGTCCAGTTCCTTGCACAGCTGAGGCAACAGTTTTTGTTTTAAGCTTTTCAGGGACTACATAAAGATGCATCATGGGCAAAATTAAGTTCATGAACTCCTAGTAACCATTCCTAATCTAAAGTTAGAGGTCTGAGCAGCACAGGTGGCCCATCGCCACTGCACAGGACAGACTGCTTTATTTTCTTGTTCTCATTATTTTTCTACGAAGTGAGGCAAATAAGATTTCTTCCTAAGAGAGGTAGATCAAGAGAAAGACAGAGAAAAACATTTTAGCTGTTTTCTGAAACTGCCAAATAAACTGAAAGTGACATTTTATAGGTAAGTCTGAAAACTAAAGGATTGTCCATCTTCCTAAGAGAGGTAGATCAAGAGAAAGACAGAGAAAAACATTTTAGCTGTTTTCTGAAAGTGACATTTTATAGGTAAGTCTGAAAACTAAAGGATTGTCCGTTGTCATAAAATAGTTACAACATCTCATCCTTAAGAAGGCTTCAGGTGAGTCCTTTTGAAGTGGCAGTCCAAGAGAGAATGCCCTCCCCCAGAGCATGCCCACTGGTAGGTCCTTTCTGGCCAAACCAGTCTACAACTTCAAATGACACTTGTTCCAGACAACCCAGTGCCCAAAGCACACCATTTCTTCTTGCCGACCAACCCACTTCTTCTATAGCTCAGTTCCCACAGCGGAGCTAGCAGGGGAGAGACCATTTTTAGAAGTTTCATTTTCAATAGGACAAATCCTATTTTCCCGATAAATGGAGTTGAAAACGTGGTGAGGAGGAAATTAAGGCAGTGGCTAGCCCTGTGGTTTGATGGCCTTGGGCCACATCTTTTAGGAGTGTCTGTGACTATTAACTTATACATTGAAAGTGCCCAATCTATGAAATGAATTGCTGCCCAAATAGGTTATTTGTAAAACTGGAAATTCCTTGTTGGAAGCTGACTTAGATAGAGCAAAGTAAGCCTATTAGGAAGTCCTATAGTAGATCATACCCACTGTCCATGACATCTTAGACGACCTTGCTTAGAGAACAGAAGGAATGACTTTAATTTGGTCATTTAATTAGCTGAGGCTGCCACATTCAGAATTGGATATTTTTGACCTCCTGAGCATTAATCTGGAAACTCCACACATTGTACAATGTATCCATTTTAAGTTCGTTTACCTTCTCTTTAATGACTTAACAGAAAAAAACTGCATGATGAAATATATTTTCTCCAAATATATATATATTTATATAATATATAATCTTAGTTAACTCAAAGGTATATACATTGTATAATAAATAATATTTATAAAAAGAGACTTTTTGAATATAAAATCAAAAAGATCAACAACTTCTACAACTTTTTACAAAACTTTGGATACAGCAGGTTGGTAGGAAATTTCTGTTGGATGCTATTACCTGACTACGGTGAGAATAATTACAATGCATTCATGTACTATTATTAAATAATTACTTGTCAGCTACTTGAATACGCCCCAGAAACATGACTTTATCACTTTTAATATAGAATACATAGATATGAAAAGAGTGTTTTGAAAATTTGTATCCATTCTGCTAAAGTATTCTCACATAAAGCAAGCATTATCCAGTTGACATGATTTAAAAATTTTCAGTCTAAGGTGAGATAGGGAGGGGCATTTCAGACTCTCTATAGAGGGGTGGGGTGTGTATCTTTAGCAGGGCCTGTGGCCAGCAGATTCAATAGTGCAGGCAGGCTACTAGATGACCATCTTGGCAAGCCTGCCTGTGCAAGCCGGGATATAACACCTGATATCTTGGGTCAGGGTTAGGCAGACCCCGGAGAGAAGGAAGAAAAGAAAGGAAAAGCTTTGTTCTGCTCTACTCCCCTCCTGCATCTCTTCTTTCTGATTCTCCTTAAGACAGACTTGTTGGATTGATTCATACTGGCAAATCCATTTGCCTTCATTTTGCCTGCTCCTCTAGGACTCTCGACAGGACCAGTGTGCATCAAGGAGAACTCAGCCATGAGATGCTTTACCCAAGGGAGCGAGTGACTGCCTGCACCCCTTCGAACACCTAATCCAGATACTTGGCAACTGCAAGGACTGATGCTACACCAGCATGCAGGCGAGGGTGGAGGAGCTGTTTTAAAGAACTCTGCATCTCTATTGACTCACATAGGCCAGAGAGAAAAGTATGCAGGAAGACATGTCCTCATCGGAGAGGAAACGAAGCAGTCGCTTTCATCCTCCCCATCCACTAGTCACAAAATTGGAATTTCAGGAATAGATTGGTACTCTCTCACTGGCCCTTTGTCTAATTTATACGAAGGTGCCCCAGAGTCCAACTGCTCTACCTGGAATTGTTTTTACAGAGAACCTGCAGGTGAGCGGGGTTGGGAAGGATTGAATGACCCTTTCCACAGATACTGCTTCTTTTCTTTAGGAAGCCATTTGAGCTGGAGAAGACCCGCCCCCACATATGACCTATTTATAATGTCCACTACAAAAAAAATGTACTGCGTTAACAGTGGAAACTGCAGAACAGTAGAAAAAGATTTTGAGATCTGACTGCCTGTCGTACAGAACAGGGTTATAGAGACAGTGAGACTAAGAAGAACACAGCTGTTCTTCAAACAGCTTACCAGGCCACGCAGTACTCCTAGTTCCTCAAAACTCAAAATCCTACTCTAGCAATTGCCTTGCACCTCCCTACCACTTCATCCTAGCTAAACCTATGGCTTTTATCAGAATGTGAAAGTATATCAGATTGGAATGGGAGTAGACAGAGAAAAGGAGACTACAGGGGTTTGTCCTATTCCATTTAACTCCCACCTCACAGGCATCTGGGAATGTCAGAATTCCAAGATGCAGTTTGGAAACAGACTCTTACCCATGCTGATGTCTTCACCACCAGGCCGAGAGCTCACATTAGCCCAGCCTGTTCTGTTGGAGTAGAATTTTTTTTTCATTTTTATTTAACATGTGCAAAGATAAGCCTCAGGTCCATTCCTTTTGGACCCTAGAGAACTAAAAAGAAAGCCCCCTTCTTTAAAAACCACACACCATCCAGAGTAGGGTGAGAAACATAAGATGAGAGAGAGGGAGGACCTGGTCAGTGGGCAGTTGGGTCCCAGTCATTTACCACCCGTGCGGCTGGCAACAGTCTGTGGTCCTTGCTGGCTGATGCTGAGGGCTGAGCCCGGCTCTAGGTCCTGCTTCCCGTGGGACTTCGGTGAATCCGCCCAGCCACACACTGCACCCCTTCCCAGCGCCCTTGGGGAAAATAAGGAGGAAGAATTAGAAACCGTTCCTTTCCCAGGGAGTCCACCCATTGGGGTGCAAAGATCAGGGGCTGCTGATAGGAGATCTCAACATTTCTCGTGTGTGAGGAAGTGATGGGGGCTTGAGTGGCTCCTCCCTGCTCTGTCCTACACGTTGAGGCTTTCCACTAGGGAAGTCGTTTGATTTATAGTCTGGGACTCAAATCCTACCTCCCCCACTTCTAGCTGAGGGTTTTGGGCACCCAGTAGCAGGTAAATACCTCAATGCAGGAATTCATCTTGTGGAGAGACTGGGAGAAACCCTGCCAGTCTGAGGGCAGGGTCCCCAACTTCAAGTCAACTCTTAGGCTAGTGCCAGGCATGCACTGTTTTTGTATTGCACCAAACAGCTTGATAATGAGCTTTCCAAACAGAAGAAAGTCCATCTAATTAATTATGAATAATTCTTTCCCCTGGGAGTAGCAATGTATACATTTTATTCATTGGTATGGTTAGATTTCACAAAGGATGTGAGGCACTGAGCAATTTCACAGGCATTCCCAATCAACCCTCTACTCCTCTGGTAGGCTGCGGGGCCAATATAAGACTATACTACAGAGGCAGAAACTGAAGCTCAGCAAAATTGAAAGGACATGCCAAAGGTCCAGGATGTGGGGTCAGCTAGGCCACTTGACTCTTGTCCAGCTCACTGCGCTCACATTAGCAGAATAAGGAATAAATCTAGTATTTGTAAGGTAGCAAAGCTAAGGTACCACATCAGTGGGTAGCTGGAGACACTGGACAAATGCTGGAAATGATGGGAAAGGTGCTTTCTCCACACAGGAAGGACCCAGGCAGGACTCTGCCCATTCTGTGGCATAAAGCCATTTTGCCTGGGGCTCTCCCCCGAATGTGTGGGGGGCACCTGGCCTGCTCTGTGGCTCCCTTCCCTCTCCTACCTGCACTTCCAAGACTGACAGGGCAGCCAAGAGAAGATCTAGGGGCTCTGTCCCATGCAGTCCCTGCCAGCTTGTCTCTCAGGTTCTTAGCTTGGGTGCAGAGTGACAGCATGGATGAAAGAAGTAACCTGGTCTCAGCCAATCTTTGGCCTATGGCTCCAGACTAAGCAGCAAGCCTGGGGAAAGGTGTTCTTGGAGGGCTGCTCTGTGTGACCCAGGAATCTCTGCTGCCTGTCCGTGAGCACCTGGCCCATGTGCCAGGCCCTGCGCCAGGCTATTCGTGTGCAGGGAACATGGTTCTTATCCCCAGTTCACAAATAAGGAAACCAGGGCTCAGAAAAGCAAAAGAGCTTGCCCAAGTCACCCAGTGGAGAAGTTATCAAAAGGGCCCCGCATTGCAGGAGATTCTCCACTTGTCTCAGAGTCAGGGCTCCAGAGTCTCCAGAGAGGAGTGACTTGGGGCTATGGCCTATTTGGACAGGTGTCTTAAAACCATGTCTATGCAGCACTTTACATACGATTGGAAAAAACACCAACTGCTTATTCCAGAAATGGGGAGGAAAAGGAGCTGATGAAGAGTATTGATTCTTCTTAGCATCAGTATTAGCACAGCTGGAGGGATTTTCCGGACACAGAGGGTGAGCACTTTACATACGATTGGAAAAAACACCAACTGCTTATTCCAGAAATGGGGAGGAAAAGGGGCTGATGAAGAGTATTGATTCTTCTTAGCATCAGTATTAGCACAGCTGGAGGGATTTTCCGGACACAGAGGGTATACCCAGCACCTCCTTCCCCTCTTGGCAGATCTCAGCTGCTCACACAGGGCAGGGATGGGGCCAGAACAGAGGTGCCTCTGAGACCCACTAGAGCCACTGATGGGGCTTGCCCTGCTGCTGCTGTAGCCTCTGCAGGACCTACACACAGGGCTTTCTGGAGGCACAGCTGCTAACTTGGTGTTACCATCTGTGAAATGGGCAAGCTAGACAAATGGCTCTCTAGGCCCTGTCCATTGTGAGTGTTTGAAAACTGTTTTCCCCACAGCTCCTTCTTAGAATCTCCAGAGCTATTCCCACTTAATAGTGGGAACACCATGTAGCTTCTAGCCACAGCAAACATCAGAGGAGGACAGCCACTGTGGTTTTCAAACATTCCTTCCACCTTGACATGCCACAATTGGCCTGTGAGTTTTCTCTTATTCTCTGACTTTTCCTCTATCATTTTGAAAAGCAGTCATTGAAACTGTCCAAGTAATGATGCTCTTTCTTTGCATAATGACTGCCCTATGTCACAACTCTGGTGGCATATATCACACTTTCTATCAGTGCTATCTTCAGAGATGCATTCGCATCTGTTAACTCACCTGAGCCCCAGAAAAATTCTGCTGGGCCCCCATGATCACCACCACTGTGCAGATGAGGAAACTGAGGATCTAAGGTCAGACAGCTGAAAGTGGTGGAGCTGGAACCCACCTTTGTCCTCTTTCCACTCCCCACACTGCTGGAAAGGTCATGCCTGCTGCTGCCTTTCAGGACTCTGTCCCTCCTAGGGTGTATGAGCTACACCGAGGGGCTTCCCGGGTAGGCGGGTGAGTTGCCCTCACCCTGAGCTATTTCTCATGATGTCAGGTACCTCCCACGCCTCAGAGGCCCATCCCCTCCTCCAGTGCCACACAGCAAAGACAAGGTGCCCCATGTGGAAGTGCAACTCTGAGTGGGGAGCTCCCTTCATCCTAGGCTACTCCCCACTAACACTGCCCCAGCCAGCGATCACCCAGTAGGTTAGTGGTTTCCAGTGAACCAAGCACTGTCCCCAGCATTCGTTCATTTGTCCCTCACAGTCCCTCTGGGGAGGATGACAGGTGAGGAAACAGGTCTATAAAGGCTATCTTGACTGGGTCACATGTTGGGTGAGAAGTAGGTGCTGGACCAGGGCTGGGCCTACTTCCAAGGCCCAAGCTCATATCTCTACATAGTAGGCTCCTTCTCAGGGAGAGAAAAGGGAGAAAGGGCACATGGGCCTTAGAAGCCTTCCACCACCTGAGGCTCCAGGACCACTCCAGGTAATGCTGACCTATCCTGGGGTCCTTTGGATCCAAGGGCCAGTGCACAGTGCCTCCCATGCGGGCCACCTCTGGGAAGCTTGGGATCATAATCTTCCAGCCTTTTGATCCTTTGATTACTCATCACAGTCACTCTGAACTTGAATCCCTCCTCCTTCTCATCACCATCCATAAACTTGGTGA